CTTTCATTCATAAACGTAGTTCTGCCTGTTATTAGTTCCGGGCAAACATAACCAAAAGAGATGGAGGAAAGCCAATCATCGCTGTGTCTGGTTTTCCAATTCTATATGATTTTGCTTTGTTAGAATACAGAGACAAAATCATAAGGTCAATTGGTGTTGATGGTGGGTGAAGAGAGATTTGCACAACGTGTTTCTTGTGCTGCTAGCTGGTTATGAACATCGAGCAACCTAAACCTAAACCTCAACTGAAATTTGCCCACCAAAGGCTAGAAATCATCAGTAACACGCATTATAACATTGTAAATGACACACTAATCATGAATTTTCCATGTAATATGCTACCAATTGGATTATGGTATCTTAACATTATGATTCTCATATATTATAGTTTATCGCTCTTTCATTATACTTGTGTCATGACATTGATGATTATAGCTAACTTCCTGTGAAATACGTCATAGGCCTACATGCACATAAATGGGTACTTTGGGTAAAGGAAATTGTGGCCTTGACATGCAAACATTGTTGTGCAAATCTCTCTTTACCCACAATCAACATCTCTGCAATCCTCCTCCATGCCATTGACCTTCTGATTTAGTCTCTGTATTCTAAAATCATTCTCAGCAAATAAACGAGGTAGAATTACACTCTCTCGCTCCCCACACCCCATTATTTTCCTTTTGACATTTTTAATTAGTCTTCAAATTGCCAGCTCCTTATTTTCATGTACAGTACTATACCTAGAATACAAGGGTTGCATTTGCACTAAACAATTTAATGTCAGAAAAATAATGTAGAAAATCTGGCTTATGGTTAGCCTCATATACATTATCTACTGGTATCATTTTAAATTCAGAACATATAGCTAGCTCATCAATATGCAAATTATGTGTGAGTAGCTATTCCCTGCTTCAGATGTACAATGACAAGGGGCACATTGATTGCACATGCCCATTAGGCCAGTTATGCCATCATACTGTAGGCCTCTTGGCTGCATTGGTGATGCATGCCATTATCATAAGCTGCAAAATGGGTTCACATGTCTGATATCCTGAGACAGAGTGACAACCAAATAAAACTGATTGGAGAGCTCACAACTGGACAACAAGGTCATATCATTTGAGAAAGCAACACAGAAACACAGACAAATTAGAGACTGATCCCATTCATACCTTTTTATTGCAGAATTGTGATCTGTGATGAATGAACATTGACACTAGTTCATCTTGAATAATGCTTTTTAATTAACAATTAAAACAAGTTTAAACACTTAAATGAATCAACATTGAATTAATCAAAATATAATTTCAAAATGTACAAATAATCTAACTTGTTTGTAAATGTTAGACATCTTACTGAGCATTATTTCAGGTGAACAAAAAAGTCCATACCAGAGGTGGCCAACCTTGCTCCACTCCCTGATCTACTGGGTGAGCAGACTTCTAGCCCAGCAATAATACACATTATTATCAACTCATTAGGTTTGATAAGTTGAATCAGGTGTGTTAGTGCTTGGCTGGAACAGAAACCTGCACACCCAGCATACCTCCAGAAGGATTGGCCTGCTACAGTTGTAATAAGTTTGTAGCCTACATTGTGTGTGACTTTTAACTGTATTGTTAAATACAACATGTGCTACCATAAGTGCACATACAACCCCATGGCATACAAGGATGTGCCAGCAGTCTCTTGGGACATTCACTGGGACCTCTTCATCTGCAGACATGCTTTCGCAGCTCTCCATATCTGAGGACAGACATCACAAAGAAACAGGCTTCACTTTATTACAATTAGACAGCCCTGACTATCATTTATCTGTCTGTCTTCATAGTTTTCCTCTCTAGGGACTAAAACAGGAGAATATTTTCTTAATGTCATCCCACAACCTCCACTATATTAACTAGTCCACCTACTCCCTTTTCTGACAGCTGGAGCAGAAAATCCTTTCACCCTCTTCCATTGCTGTTATCTATACTGAACAATAAATATAAAATGCAACAATTTCAACGATTTTACTGAGTTACAGTTCATGTAAGGAAATCAGTCAATTGAAATAAATAAATGAGGCTGTAATCTATGGATTTCACATGACTGGGCAGGGGCGCAGTCATGGGTGGGCCTGGGAGGGCATAGGCCCACCCACTTGGGAGCCAGGCCCAGCCAATCAGAATGAGTTTTTCCCCACAAAAGGGCTTTATTACAGACATAAATACTCCTCAGTTTCATCAGCTGTCTGGGTGGCTGGTCTCAGACGATCCCGCAGGTGAAGAAGCCGGATGTGGAGGTCCTGAGCTGGCGTGGTTACACGTGGTCTGCGGTTGTGAGGCTTGTTGGACGTACTGCCAAATTCTCTAAAACAATGTTGGAGGCGATTTATGGTAGAGAAATGAACATTCAATTCTCTAGCAACAGCTCTGGTGGACATTCCTGCAGTCAGCATGCCAATTGCAAGCTCCCTCAAACTTCAGACATCTGTGGCATTGTGTTGTGTGACAAAACTGCACATTTTAGAGTGGCCTTTTATTGTCCCCAGCACAAGGTGCACCTGTGCAATGATCATGCTGTTTAATCAGCTTCTTGATATGCCACACCTGTCAGGTGGATGGATTATCTTGACAAAGGAAAAATGCTCACCAACAGGGATGTAAACAAATTTGTGCACAACATTTTAGAGAAATAAGCTTTTTGTGCATATGGAACATTTCTGGGACCTTTTAATTCAGCTAATGAAACATGGGACCAACACTTTGCATTTAGATTTTTGTTCAGTACAAATGCATTTGGAGCATGAGTTTTTAATTTACAATGATAAATAGGCCAACATCAAGATAACAAGCTAATATAAAGTTAACTAACGTTAGCTGGTGATATTTCACTTAGTTCTGTAAAGCTCATTAGCCTACACACAGTGGCCTGCTGTAGTTATCTAATAATACATAGTTTTTAAAAACATTTTCAAAATGTATTTACTTACTTGAATAGGTTCATGCATATGCCCACGAAGCGGCCAATCTTTTGGAGCGAAGAGTTGTCAAACAGAGGCATCGATTCTGGTCGAAACATAGCCTCCAACAACACATAAAACCTCACATTATTCTGCCAAAAAACAATGACGATTTCTCTCAACCAGTGGCATATGAGCTTTTTAGTTGAGCGCTGATGCCGCCCTGTGATAAGCAGTGTCCACTTGATCAATTGCGCAACATATTTCGCTTGTCAATTCCGAGCACGCCTCTCCAGGCTGCTGTTGGAGAGACGCATCGCTGCGGCGCTCCACCAACGTTCCGTCCCAAAAAAAATATATCATAAATCATGTAGCAGATATAGCCTATGGTAGAAAGAGAATGTTGCCTTTTCTGTAGCCTACAGGCTGGAGATAAAATGTATGACAATGTAATAATAAGATGGACACTTTTTTACATCATGCAGGTGATCAAATAGCCTAACCCAAATGGCACCCAATCAAAAAATAAAGCCATATTAACAAACAAAACATCCTCAAAGTAAAATGGACAATATGGAATGGACAATCGGGCTACTCACAACTGCGGTCCAAGAGTTTCCCTTACGAAAAAAGATTGCAGTATGCTGCAAATACTGCGTCCAAAATAATATTTTTTACTGCAGTAATTTTGCGGTGTAACTGCAGTTAATGCAGTTCAACTGCAGTTATTCTGCAATTACTGCGTCCAAAATACCACTGTTGACTGCAGTTACTGCACTTTTACTGCAGTTTCAAAACAGCAATCTTTTTTTTGTAAGGGTTCACCCCGTGGGCTAAGTAGTCATGATGGTTTCAAGTTTGTATCAATAAATTGTTTTATGATCATAGCGAAAAAGAAAATACTTCTGCATTTCTCGCTGTGTAAACACATTGCTTCTCATTGCAAATAGGCTCAGGATAACTCCTTATAACGTTGGGTAGCTGCTGATTTTCAGAGCTTATAAATAGCCAAATTGATTAGTCACAGGAATCAGGACTAAAGCCAATGCAACGGCCTGTTTTACAAACAGTAGGCCTACCACATGGATGGGCATTCATAAAATTCTATTGCAGGCAGACATGTAGGCTAAACCCCAGTAAGGAAGGACCGACGCCGACGTCTTTTTGGCGTCTTTTTTAGGTCCTCTCCAGACCAGCCGGCTTTTGGTGTTTTACAAACAGTATGCCTAACACATAGATGGGCATTCATAAAATTCCATTGCAGGCAGACACTGTAGTCTACACCCCAGTACGCATAGATCTTTTTTTGGTACTGTCTGGACCTGCCTAGATTTCCACGTTTGTTTTTGGACTGGCCTTGATTTGGTCCAAACATAAATGTCTATAAATTATGTCTTTTCAACTTTCATTCAGAACTGAAAATGAACCTGATTTCAATGTCCGTAATATAGGTATTTTTCAACGTCCAGAAACGTATTTTCACATTTCATTCAGAACCTAAATTGAACCTAACTTCAACATCTGGAAAATACATATTTTAAACCTAATTTTGCTTACTGGGACTTTGCTATTTTTAGGGGAATGGGGTGGGGGCAATGTTTTTTGTCATGCCTAGGGTGGCAGAAAGGCCAGGACCAGGTCTGATAACTGCTGCTCTCTTCACAGCACACATCATCCAGCCCGAGTTCACCGATCTCTTCAACTACAGTGTACCTGTGGAACCAAGAAAGTCTGTTTGCCTACAGACACTTTGCATTGGCAGCTCTAAGGGGTGTTAAGCCCCCAGAGCAGACTCGGATCGAGCCAACCACATCCCTGTGTCAACTCCCCCGCTTTCCCCAAGCAATGTTGATGTATTTGAAGTGTTTCCAGTCGATAAAGTATGTTACAATATTACATTTACAGTTGTTTCAGATCTGTAAACAGACAAAACAAAAATCTCACACACACACGTTTAAACGAGATGAAGTAAACTGTAGAATAAAGGACTCTTTATTGATTTGTATGACCTAATGGAAAGCAGTGGTTGTTGGTGTCAGAGTACGCTGTTGGGGTATTAGCACACCTCCAGCAGGCCCTCCGACCAGAGCACCAGCGCCATCTGGACTTTGTCATTGTCCAAGCCCCTTTTTAGCTGAACCACAGGGATGGGCTGTCCCGCCTGCAGCTGCCTGATGGCCGGGAGGTCTTCGAAGGGGAAGGTCATGCCGGGGGTCTAGGAAATAGGCGGAGAGATATGACGACTGAGACAGAGCCTAACCTTACAGACAGTCTGAAACATGACAATGCATTTTGCCTGTGTAAACAAAATATCAGGAATTGGGCCTCATCTACAGACATATAGCTTCTGATTCGATACTTTGATGAGGGTCAATATGAATTACAGTTACATAAACATCTTCATTCATAAACCATTTAAAATCCTGGCTGACTGGCACAGTGTATAATCTACTATAATATCCAAATGGTAGAGGTACCTTGACACAAATCCAATATCCATACATGATATTGTGATGTCAACTGAATACATTGTCTATGCAACATGTGCCAGGTTACCTCAGAGGGTGCATCTTCCTCCTCTTCCTCCTCTTCACCACTATCATCATCATCATCATCACCACTCTGTCCCATCATGTGTTTCTCCCTTCTGTTCCTCAGAGAGTGCATCACATCGACCACCAACGATACCGACCCATCCTAAACACACACACACGTTAGTCCAAGAGCAGCTAGGTAAAATATGTAAATTGTTACAACTGAAGGCACTTACTGATGGGCTTTGACAAGTCTCCAAAGACACCAGGATGTGGTCTTTAAACCTCAGACACACCGTATCTTCTAAAGCAGGCATCTTTCCAGCTGAGAAGAACACACACACAGATTAGATATAGAGAGAAAGGACCTACGCTAATACATGTACACACTCATGCCCAATTTCACATTGAACTCCTCCTGGGAACTTCTTGTAGATCTGAAAGGATTGGATAGCTATAAGGTGTACCATATTAGTTACTTAATACTCTTGGTTCCTGAAGGAAGGTACTAAAGTTTTCCAACATTGCCTGCTGCTTTCTTCGCCTCTGGCCACGACAGGTACCATATTACTGATTAAATCTTTCAGATCTACAAGAGGCAGGCTTTGACCATGGAATGCGTCTACTTCCTTTAGTATTTACAGCGCAACCGTTGGCTCCAAAAGGCTTGTTTTGAGCAAGATGGTGATTGGTCTTTCTATAAACTAGGGTACCAGTGACTATTTCCTACGCTGGACAACTTATTACAGCTGTTGATAAGTCATTGATAATAATCTGCCAATTTGTTTCATGTCATTACTTTAAGACATAAGAGGGGAACATAGCTACAGTGAGCGCCATAATTCATTGGTCAGTGACCATTTTTTTGTTATCTTGGTTCTGTACTCTAGCACTTTGAGTTTGAAAGGATACAATGACAATGAGGTTGAAGTGCAAATTGTCAGCTTTAATTTGAGGGTATTTTCATACATATCGGATGAACCGTTTAGAAATGACAGCACCTTTTGTACATAAATAATTAAAATAATTGGTCATTTAGCTGACGCTCTTATCCAGAGCGACTTACAGGAGCAATTAGGGTTAAGTGCCTTGCTCAAGGGCACATCGACAGATTTTTCACCTAGTCGGCTCGGGGATTAGAACTTACATGGTCCCCGCATTTTAAGGTACTACAAGTATTTGTTAAATTGGCTTCACAGATGTGTGTGTCGTTAGGTAGGTGTATTCATTTGTGTCGTTAGTGAATGCAGGAGAGCTGTTGATGAATAGTATTGATTCTAGACTTTGCTATTGCCTTTGGAGGTTGTTGTTGGGGTGTGACAACATGAGGAAGACAGCAGTGTCGATGCAAATGAAGCTGGCCGTCATAAGGCTCAGAAATGAAAATCAATCAATCAGGAACATTGCAAAAACCCTGGCCATGCCCAAGTCAACAGTTTGGTTCATCATTAACAAGAAAAATACAACCGGTGAACTCAATTATGTCAAAAGACCCGGTAGACCGAGGAAGACCACTGTAGTGGATGACCGGAGAATACTCTCTATGGTGAAGAAAACCCCCCTGACAACAGCCAACAGATCAAAAACACTCTCCTGAATGCAGGTGTAGATGTGTCAAAGTCTACCATACGTAGAAGACTACACCAGCAGGACTACAGAGGGTACACTACAAGATGCAAACCACTGATAAGCCTGAAGAACAGAAAGGCGAGATTACAGTTTGCTAAAAAGCACCTAAAAGAGCCCCAAGAGTTCTGGAAAAAATTATTGTGGACAGATGAGACAAAGAATAACATGTACCAGAGTGATGGAAAAAGGAAAGTGTGGAGGAAAAAAAAGAAATGCCCATGATCCAAAGCATATCACCTCAACTGTGAAACATGGTGGAGGGGATGTTATGGCTTGGGCCTGTATGGCTACCAGTGGAACAGGCTCACTTGTCTTCATCGATGATGTGACTGCAGACAGAAGTAGAACAATGAATTCTGAAGTCTACAGAATTACTGCTAGAGCAACGAAGGGGTTTTTGATGGCCAAAAAGTGGAAAATCCTTGACTGGCCGAGTCAATCACCGGATCTGAATCCAATTGAACATGCATTTTACATGCTGAAGAGGAGACTGAAGGCAATAAGTCCCCGAAACAAGCAGGAACTGAAGATGGCTGCAGTACAGGCCTGGCAGAGCATCACCAGGGAAAATACCCAGCGTCTGGTGATGTCGATGGATCGCAGACTTCAAGCAGTCATTGCATGCAAAGGATATGCGACCAAATATTAACAATGATTACTTTATTCTACATTATGTTAAACTGTCCAATGTTTTTTGATGCCCGAAAATGGAGGGGACCGATATGTATGAAAATACCCTCAAATTAAAGCTGACAGTCTGCACTTCACCCTCATTGTCATTGTATCCTTTCAAACTCAAAGTGCTAGAGTACAGAACCAAAATAAAAATAAAATGGTCACTGTCCAATGAATTATGGTGCTCACTGTATATTCCTTAAAATTCACGAGTTGATTTAAAAACCTGTTTAACCCTTTATCATGGTTGGTGTCTTGACAGATTTGTCCAAACTCATGTGACATACAGGATTAAGATTGAATCCTACTACACCGGCTGACGCTCGTCGGATGTGGCAGGGCTTGAAAACGATTACGTACAAGTGGAAACCCAGCCGCGAGCTGCCAAGTGACGCGAACCTACCAAGTGACGCGAGCCTATGCTCGCTTCGAGGCAAGCAACACTGAGGCATGCATGAGAGCACCAGCTGTTCCAGACGACCGTGTGATAATGCTCTTGGTAGCCGCTGTGAGCAAGACCTTTAAACAGGTCAACATTCACAAAGCCGCGGGGCCAGACGGATTACCAGAATGTGTACTCAAAGCATGCACGGACCAACTGGCAAGTGTCTTCACTGACATTTTCAACCTCTCCCTGACTGAGTCTGTAATACCTACATGTTTCAAGCAGACCACTATAGTCCCTGTGCCCAAGGAAGCGAAGGTAACCTGCCTAAATTATTACCGCCCCGTAGCACTCACGTCGGTAGCCATGAAGTGCTTTGAAAGGCTGGTCATGGCTCACATCAACAGCATCATCCCGGATACACTAGACCCACTCCAATTCGCATACCGCCCCAACAGATCCACAGATGATGCAATCTCAATCGCACTCCACACTGCCCTTTCCCACCTGGACAAAAGGAACACCCATGTGAGAATGCTGTTAATTGACTACAGCTCAGCGTTCAACACCATAGTGCCCACAAAGCTCATCACTAAGCTAAGGACCCTGGGACTAAACACCTCCCTCTGCAACTGGATCCTGGACTTCCTGACGGGCCGCCCCCAGGTGGTAAGGGTAGGCAACAGCATATCTGCCATGCTGATCCTCAACACTGGGGCCCCTCAGGGGTGCGTGCTTAGTCCCCTCCTGTCCTCCCTGTTCACCTACGACCGCGTGGCCAAACACGACTCCAACACCATCATTAAGTTTTCTGACGATACAACAGTGGTAGGCCTGATTACCGACAACGTTGAGACAGCCTATAGGGAGGAGGTTAGAGACCTGGCAGTGTGGTGCCAGGACAACAACCTCTCCTTCAATGTGAGCAAGACAAAGGAGCTGATCGTGGACTACAGGAAAAGGTGGGCCGAACAGGCCCCCATTAACATCGACGGGGCTGTAGTGGAGCGGGTTGAGAGTTCCTTGGTGTCCACATCGCCAACAAACTATCATGGTCCAAACACACCAAGACAGCCGTGAAGAGGGCAAGACAACACCTTTTCCCTCTCAGGAGACTGAAAAGATTTGGCATGGGTCCTCAGATCCATTTGTTTTTACACTGCTGCTACCCGGTGTATATTAGTCACTTTACCCCTACCTACAGTGAGGGATAAAAATATTTGATCCCCTGCTGATTTTGTACGTTTGCCCACTGACAAAGACATGATCAGTCTATACTTTTAATGGTAGGTTTATTTGAAAAGTGAGAGACAGAATAACAACAAAAATTCCAGAAAAACGCATGTCAAAAATGTTATAAATTGATTTGCATTTTAATGAGGGAAATAGGTATTTGACCACTCTGCAAAACATGACTTAGTACTTGGTGGCAAAACCCTTGTTGGCAATCACAGAGGTCAGACGTTTCTTGTAGTTGGCCACCAGGTTTGCACACATCTCAGGAGGGATTTTGTTCCACTCCTCTTTGCAGATCTTCTCCAAGTCATTAAGGTTTCGAGGCTGACGTTTGGCAACTCGAACCTTCAGCTCCCTCCACAGATTTTCTATGGGATTAAGGTCTGGAGACTGGCTAGGCCACTCCAGGACCTTAATGTGCTCCTTCTGGAGCCACTCCTTTGTTGCCTTGGCCGTGTGTTTTGGGTCATTGTCATGCTGGAATAACCATCCACGACCCATTTTCAATGCCCTGGCTGAGGGAAGGAGGTTCTCACCCAAGATTTGACGGTACATGGCCCCCTCCATCGTCCCTTTGATGCAGTGAAGTTGTCCTGTCCCCTTAGCAGAAAAACACCCCCAAAGCATAATGTTTCCACCTCCATGTTTGACGGTGGGGATGGTGTTCTTGGGGTCATAGGCAGCATTCCTCCTCCTCCAAACACGGCGAGTTGAGTTGATGCCAAAGAGCTCAATTTTGGTCTCATCTGACCACAACACTTTCATCTAGTTCTCCTCTGAATCATTCAGATGTTCATTGGCAAACTTCAGACAGGCATGTATATGTGCTTTCTTGAGCAGGGGGACCTTGCGGGCGCTGCAGGATTTCAGTCCTTCATGGCGTAGTGTGTTACCAATTGTTTTGTTGGTGACTATGGTCCCAGCTGCCTTGAGATCATTGACAAGATCCTCCCGTGTGGTTCTGGGCTGATTCCTCACCGTTCTCATGATCATTGCGACTCCACGATGTGAGATCTTGCATGGAGCCCCAGGCTGAGGGAGATTGACAGTTGTTTTGTGTTTCTTCCATTTGCAAATTATCGCACCAATTGTTGTCACCTTCTCACCAAGCTGCTTGGCGATGGTCTTGTAGCCCATTCCAGCCTTGTGTAGGTCTACAATCTTGTCCCTGACATCCTTGGATAGCTCTATGGTCTTGGCAATGGTGGAGAGTTTGGAATCTGATTGATTGATTGCTTCTGTGGACAGGTGTCTTTTATACAGGTAACAAGCTGAGATTAGGAGCACTCCCTTTAAGAGTGTGCTCCTGATCTCAGCTCGTTACCTGTATAAAAGTCACCTGGGAGCCAGAAATCTTTCTGATTGAGAGGGGGTCAAATACTTATTTCCCTCATTAAAATGCAAATCAATTTATAACATTTTGACATGCATTTTTCTGGATTTTTTTGTTGTTATTCTGTCTCTCAGTGTTCAAATAAACCTACCATTAAAATTATAGACTAATCATTTCTTTGTCAGTGGGCAAACGTACAAAATCAGCAGTGGATCAAATACTTTTTTCCCTCACTGTACATACAAATTACCTCGACTAACCTGTAACCCCGCACATTGACTCGGTACCGGTACCTAGTACAGTGGGGAGAACAAGTATTTGATACACTGCCGATTTTGCAGGTTTTCCTACTTACAAAGCATGTAGAGGTCTGTATGAAAACACATTGTATGATTTTTAAGTAATTCATTTGCATTTTATTGCATGACATAAGTATTTGACCACCTACCAACCAGTAAGAATTCCGGCTCTCACAGACCTGTTAGTTTTTCTTTAAGAAGCCCTCCTGTTCTCCACTCATTACCTGTATTAACTAGACCTGTTTGAACTCATTACCTGTATAAAAGACACCTGTCCACACACTCAATCAAACAGACTCCAACCTCTCCACAATGGCCAAGACCAGAGAGCAGTGTAAGGACATCAGGGATAAAATTGTAGACCTGCACAAGGCTGGGATGGGCTACAGGACAATAGGCAAGCAGCTTGGTGAGAAGGCAACAACTGTTGGCGCAATTATTAGAAAATGGAAGAAGTTCAAGATGACGGTCAATCACACTCGGTCTGGGGCTCCATGCAAGATCTCACCTCGTGGGGCATCAATGATCATGAGGAAGGTGAGGGATCAGCCCAGAACTACACGGCAAGACCTGGTCAATGACCTGAAGAGAGCTGGGACCACAGTCTCAAAGAAAACCATTAGTAACACACTACGCCGTCATGGATTAAAATCCTGCAGCGCACGCAAGGTCCCCCTGCTCAAGCCAGCGCATGTCCAGGCCCGTCTGAAGTTTGCCAATGACCATCTGGATGATCCAGAGGAGGAATGGGAGAAGGTAATGTGGTCTGATGAGACAAAAATAGAGCTTTTTGGTCTAAACTCCACTCGCTGTGTTTGGAGGAAGAAGAAGGATGAGTACAACCCCAAGAACACCATCCCAACCATGAAGCATGGAGGTGGAAACATCTTTCTTTGGGGATGCTTTTCTGCAAAGGGGACAGGACAACTGCACCGTATTGAGGGGAGGATGGATGGGGCCATATATCGCAAGATCTTGGCCAACAACCTCCTTCCCTCAGTAAGAGCATTGAAGATGGGTCATGGCTGGGTCTTCCAGCATGACAACGACCCGAAACACACAGCCAGGGCAACTAAGGAGTGGCTACGTAAGAAGCATCTCAAGGTCCTGGAGTGGCCTAGCCAGTCTCCAGACCTGAACCCAATAGAAAATCTTTGGAGGGAGCTGAAAGTCTGTATTGCCCAGCGACAGCCCCGAAACCTGAAGGATCTGGAGAAGGTCTGTATGGAGGAGTGGGCCAAAATCCCTGCTGCAGTGTGTGCAAACCTGGTCAAGACCTACAGGAAACATATGATCTCTGTAATTGCAAACAAAGGTTTCTGTACCAAATATTAAGTTCTGCTTTTCTGATGTATCAAATACTTATGTCATGCAATAAAATGCACATTAATTACTTAAAAATCATACAATGTGATTTTACCTATGATAAAAATTACAGACCTCTACATGCTTTGTAAGTAGGAAAACCTGCAAAATCGGCAGTGTATCAAATACTTGTTCTCCCCACTGTATATAGCCTCGTTATTGTTATTTTATTGTGTTACTTTTTATTATTCTTTACTTTAGATTATTTGGTAAATATTTTCTTAATTCTTTCTTGAACGGCATTGTTGGTCAAGGGCTTGTAAGTAAGCATTTCACGGTAAGGTCCACACCGGTTGTATTCGGCGCATGTGACAAATAGACGGGCTGTGCAAAGTCCGGGTAGCCATGATTAGCTGTTCAGGAGTCTTATGGCTTGGGGGTAGAAGCTGTTGAGAAGTCTTTTGGACCTAGACTTGGCACTCCGGTACCGCTGCCGTGCGGTAGCAGAGAGAACAGTCTATGACTAGGGTGGCTGGAGTCTTTGACAATTTTGAGGGCCTTCCTCTGACACCGCCTGGTATAGAGGTCCTGGATGGCAGGAAGCTTGGCCCCAGTGATGTACTGGGCCGTACGCACTACCCTCTGTAGTGCCTTGCGGTCGGAGGCCAACAGTTGCCATACCAGGCGGTGATGCAACCAGTCAGGATGCTCTCGATGGTGCAGCTGTATAATTTTTTGAGGATCTGAGGACCCATGCCAAATATTTTCAGTCTCCTGAGGGGGGATAGGCTTTGTCGTGCCCTCTTCACGACTGTCTTGGTGTGTTTGGACCATGATAGTTCGTTGGTGAAGTGGACACCAAGGAACTTGAAGCTTTCAACCTGTTCCACTACAGCCCCGTCGATGAGAATGGGGGCGTGCTCAGTCCTCTTTTTTTCCCTGTAGTGCACAATCATCTCCTTTGTATTGGTCACGTTGAGGGAGAGGTTGTTATCCTGGCACCACACGGCCAGGTCTCTGACCTCCTCCCTGTAAGCTGTCTCATCGTTGTCGGTGATCAGGCCTACCACTGTTGTGTCGTCGGCAAACGTAATGATGGTGTTGGAGTAGTGCCTGGCCATGCAGTCATGGGTGAACAGGGAGTACAGGAGGGGACTGAGCACGCACCCCTGAGGGGCCCCCGTGTTGAGGATCAGTGTGGCAGATGTGTTGTTACCTACCCTTACCACCTGGGGGCGGCCCATCAGGAAGTCCAGGATCCAGTTGCAGAGGGAGGTGTTTAGTCCCAGGATCCTGAGCTTAGTGATGAGCTTTGAGGGCACAATGTGTTGAATGCTGAGCTGTAGTCAATGAATAGCATTCTCACGTAGGTGTTCCTCTTGTCCAGGTGGGAAAGGGCAGTGTGGAGAGCAATAGAGATTGCATCATCTGTGGATCTGTTGGGGCGGTATGCCAATTGGAGTGAGTCTAGGGTTTCTGGGATAATGGTGTTGATGTGAGCCATGACCAGCCTTTCAAAGCACTTCATGGCTACAGACGTCAGTGCTACGGGTCGGTAGTCATTTAGGCAGGTTATCTTAGAGTCCTTGGGCACGGGGACTATGGTGGTCTGTTTGAAACATGTTGGTATTACAGACTCAGTCAGGGACATGTTGAAAATGTCAGTGAAGACACTTGCCAGTTGGTCAGCACATGCTCGGAGTACACGTCCTGGTAATCCGTCTGGCCCTGCGGCCTTGTGAATGTTGACCTGCTTAAAAGTCTTACTCACATCGGATACGGAGAGCGTGATCACATAGTCATCCGGAACAGCTGGTGCTCTCATGCATGCTTCAGTGTTGCTTGCCTCGAAGCGAGCATAGAAGTGGTTTAGCTCGTCTGGAAGTCTTGTGTCACTGGGCAGCTCGCGGCTGTGCTTTCCTTTGTAGTCTGTAATAGTTTTCAAGCCCTGCCACATCCGACGAGCGTCAGAGCCGGTGTAGTACGATTCAATCTTAGTCCTGTATTGACTCTTTGCCTGTTTGATGGTTCGTCAGAGGGCATAGCGGGATTTCTTATAAGCTTTGTATGCGCCTCTGTGTGTGGAGTAAAGGTGGTCTTTTGGAGTTTTTTTCCCTCTGATTGCACATTTAACATGCTGGTAGAAATTAGGTAGAACGGATTTAAGTTTCCCTGCATTAAAGTCCCCGGCCACTAGGAGCGCTGCCTCTGGATTAGCGTTTTCCTGTTGATTTATGGCCTTATACAGCTCATTAACCATTAATCAGTTAAATTAGACATTGAACTTGAACCCTGTAAGAATCCTGGCTCTAGCTGTCGGACAGTTTTTGGTATAGGGATCTCAGAAATGCAGTGTAACTACATATCATTTTGTGTCTTCTTATGTAACGTGGTGAAAACAGTTTTCATGGGCACACAAATCCTCCAAACATTATGCAATTGCAAAATAGAATGCTTCTAACAGAAAGAGTAATCTTACCTTGATACTTAAAACCTAAATCGATACTGTCATTAATGTGGTTCTCCAATAATTACATATAATACCTGTTGGATGCGCATTTGGTGTCGAGCTGTTTAATTACTCCATGATAATTTCACACATCATCATCTGACACAGGAAGGAATTTTCAGAATGACAGTCAAGTGAGGAACAGCTGTTGTGATAGCGCATGCGATGCTACAACAGCCCAAGTGCTGATAAAAAGGTGTCCGCAAGGAATGTCCAGAATATTTGGGTGTCTCATTCGTTACGCCGGTGAAGACAATTGTGACTCGATCCACATTGGATCTAATATCCCTAGTGAATTGATGTTGATCATCTATTGTAGTCTGCTTGATTTACAGCAGGGTGTTGTTAGATTTAACAGAGAAAGCATCAAGGTAATGAGTTCATGTTTTCATGTTTTTGTGCCTCGGATTGGACTGTGTAGACTATTGTGCAACACCCAATGCTATTCCTATACATTATTCTGGATATAATGACAACAAATTACATAGCCTACATTTTACATTTTAGCAGACGCTCTTATCCAGAGTGACTTACAGTTAGTGAGTGCATACATTTTCATACTGGCCCCCCGTGGGAAACAAACCCACAACCCTGGCGTTGCAAGCGCCATGAGCTACAGGGGACTAGTGAGCTAGTGAGCTTCTTCACAAGATAATCTGGTAATGAAATAGCAAGACAAATATATTTCGGTTTCCATGTTACACCTGCAATTTCAAACAATATAACGGGTTTGATGTAGCCCACTTGAACTTGAATTTGGAGCTCAGAAATTCAAGTACTGGAATAGGCCTACCTAGAAATGTTTTCAATTTGGTGCTTGAAAAGTCCTTGTAATTATTATAGGCAATTTATTTAGTCAGGCAAATCCACATTATTCACATATTTTAGAATAATTAGAAAATCAATGCATTGGCAAGGCCTAAAACATTGACACTTTTTGGAATGGGGGCTCTATATTAAGCTCTATATGTACATTTATCTAAATTATTACATCTTAGTAATTTAGCAGACGCTCTTATCCAGAGTGTCTTATAGGAGCAATTAGGGTTAAGTACCCTTGCTCAAAGGCACAGACAGATTTTTCACAGTCGGTTACTGGCCCAATGCTCTTAACCGCTAGGCTACAGGCCGCACAATTGTATAACATTGAGGTCCTTGTAAATTACAATTAAGTGCTTGAAAAAGTCCTTGAATTTGACTTGCCAATGTCTGTATGAACCCTGTTTAAAGGATGTATAGTCTTAGGCCTATGTTGTTGTATAGGTTGAGTTATGGGCCAATTTGCATATATTCCTCTAAGTACACATGTGGAATTGCATGAAAATAATTTTTCTTTTTATGTCACACATTGGCCCCATTATTTATAGAAAGACCCCGATACAGAACAAAGTGGCTAGAGATACTGTACCTATCCATATTCAATGCCCCAACACTATTTTCCAGACCTTACTATAAATGTTACTCTCCCTGCTTAGCTCAGATTCAGCAAGCGTCCCGGACAGATCTGTCAGAAGAACTTAATAGAGGCGCATTCTAAAGTATCAATGCACATCACTATTTAGACCCATATCTGTAGCTGTGGCCTGTACAGAAACGTCACTTCTAGGTAGAAAAACGCCACTGTCCATTTCTCATTCAAATCCATTCATATCTCAGAATATGGCTGTGTCCATTTATTGTTGTACATTCTATGGGCAACACACACTGTCTATAATAAACGTTCGACTTTTAACTATTATTCAGCAAGACACACACCTGGTGATGAGATGTCGTCTTGCTCTGGTGTGTATGGTGGTAGTCTGTGGAGGGCAAAGTCCCTCTTCATGTCCCCGGCACGGAGTTGGTGTTCGCCCCTCTCCATCTGATCTGCCACGCTCCTCAGTAATGAGGCCAACTGCCTGCTTGTGTCTGGGGGTGCGTTTGCTCCCTGGTTCACACACACACGCAGTTATAGTACTTAATAGATAGCGGTAGATAAGACTGAACTATGCAGGTAGGCCACTATTATTTTCAATAGGCCTACATTGTAATTTCTATTATGAAACGAAATTGCAATATCTTCTATCTAGAATTCAGCAGAACATGCAACAATAGTGACAACAAAATTTCCAACTTTATTTTAAACATTCAACTCAGTTCAAATTCCTTATTCCTCCTTTAGGTAATTACTGAACTGTAAGTTATCACTCCCATTCACCAATCCGACCATGGCAGATGAGTGTTTCCCTCGAGGAAGGACAGAAGGAAGGATGAAATGTTTAAGTGTTGGAACAGAGTACGGAAGTGGATCTCACCATCAATATTCTCCTGGGCATGCCTACCCTCCTGGTGATGTCACTGGTCTTAAGGGAGTCATACAAGAAATTGGGAAAGACGTTGGCCAGGTAGTCTCCCCACGACCTGAGGTGAACAATGGGAAAGAGAGACCGAAAAGAAAAGGAGAAGAAAAAAGTTAAAGTAACTTAAGAAGTGGTGGGGCTGAGATAGCGTTGAGGTGAGAGAGGCATTGCCAGTTCGAATCCCAGGGGAAGATATGTCAGGCTACGATTTGGCAAATTCTGACGAAGGCCATTGACGGCTGAAACGTCATGATATTAATAGTTGTATAAATAAAAGATCAGGTTTTTAATAGTGTGCCTATTCCTTTTCCCAACCAGAGGGTCGCTGACACAGTGAGTCTCACGTACGTGTTCTGATAGGTACTGAGGGTCAGGTGGGTAGAATGATCCACTCCCACGGGGGTGTCTGCCTGATGGATGGTTCCTCTGGGGAAGTAGAGCAGATCACCTGCCTATGGAAAGAAAGGACAAACACCCCCCCCCTCACTTACCCTCAAATAGCTCAGGCCACAAGTCACACTACGTTGCAAAATACTCCAATGAAGTGTTTCCCAAATGTGGATCAAGACTCATAAGTGCACTACTGCGGATTACTTTCGGGTTGTGGCTTTTGACTGGTCTTGCCTAGAGAGACATTGGTTTTGTTTACTCGACAGGTAACAAGGAAACCCCTAAAGCTCTAGACTGGTCACAGCACAAAAAGGTTTGGGATTCGGAACCAATACTTGCTGAATTAATGGTGTCGGTTGGTTTGTACTTGTTATCAGACAAGTGTGTCTTCTCATGCATGTTCTCTTGCTAAAGCTCAGTAGTGCCTGACCCTTGTTCCTGGGACCCATGTCGCTAACCCTGTGCTGTGAGTAAAGTACCTGCTCTGGAGTGAAGTTTCTCCTAGGTGCAGATCTAGGATCAGCTTCCTTTCCCTCAATCTTAACCTTAAAGTGGCAATCTGCAGTTCAAACAATAGCAATGTGGGACACCCCCCCACTGTTTTGGTAAAAAAGCTGAGGGATGGGGCAGGAGAAATGTAACCACTCAAATTCATAGACAAAGCTATGGATGCAAGGATTGACCGTCCATGGTATTAAAATTATAGTTTTAACCATGTTTTGAGGCTACAGAGGTGTTTGTTTACAATTACATTGCTTGCAAACAATGAAGTAAAACAGGCTTAAATGTTGGGTTCTGATAGTGTATTACAGTTAAACTAAGCTCATGAGGCATTTATAGTTGGGCCGGGAGGACATCAGTAGCACAATGCTCATTAGTATCGTGGCAAGGAAACAAAACACAAAGCGGATTAAACTTCTTTAGGAAAATAATATTGGAAACAAACATCATTATGTTGTCATCCAGAGTCACATTTCTTTATTTTTGCAATGGAAAACATATTGCGATACTGGTAAAAAATAAATGAATAAACGGAAATATCACATTTACATAAGTATTCAGACCCTTTACTCAGTACTTTGTTGAAGCACCTTTGGCAGCGATTATAGCCTAAAGTCTTCTTGGGTATGACGCTACAAGCTTGGCACACCTGTATTTGGGGAGTTCCTCCCATTCTTCTCTGCAGATCCTCTCAAGCTCTGTCAGGTTGGATGGGGAGCGTCTCTGCACAGCTATTTTCAGGTCTCTCCAGAGATGTTCGATTGGGTTCAAGTCCAGGCTCTGGTTGGACCACTCAAGGACATTCAGACTTGTCCCGAAGCCACTCCTGCGTTGTCTTGGCTGTGTGCTTAAGGTTTTTGTCCTGTTGGAAGGTGATCCTTCGCCCCAGCCTGAGGTCCTGTGCACTCTGGAGCAGGTTTTCATTAAGGATCTTTCTGTACTTTGCTCCGTTCATCTTTCCCTCAATCCTGACTAGTCTCACAGTCCCTGCCGCTGAAAAACATCCCCACAGCATGATGCCGCCGCACCATGCTTCACCGTAGGGATGGTGCCAGGTTTCCTCCAGACGTGATGCTTGGCATTCAGGCCAAAGAGTTCAATCTTGGTTTCTTCAGACCAGAGAATCTTGTTTCTCATGGTCTGAGAGTACATTCGGTGCCTTTCGGCAAACTCCAAGCGGGCTGTCATGTGCCTTTTACTGAGGAGTGGCTTCTGCCTGGCCACTCTACCATAAAGACCTGATTGGTGGAGTGCTGCAGAGTGTTGTCCTTCTGGAAGGTTCTCCCATCTCCACAGAGGAACTCTAGAGCTCTGTCAGAGTGACCATCGGGTTCTTGGTCACCTCCCTGACCAAGGCCCTTCTCCCCCGATTGCTCAGTTTGGCCGGGCGGCCAGCTCTAGAAAGAGTCTAGGTGGTTCTAAACGTCTTCCATTTAAAAATGAGGCCAGTGTGTTCTTGGGGACCTTCAATGCTGCAGAATTTTTTTTGTACCCTTCCCCAGATCTGTGCCTCGACACAATCCTGTCTCGGAGCTCTACGGACCATTCCTTCGACCTCATGGCTTGGTTTTTGCTCTGACATGCACTGTCAACTGTGGGAACTTATATAGACAGGTGTGTGCCTTTCCAAATCATGTCCAATCAATTGAATTTTCCACAGGTGGACTCAAATCAAGTTGTAAAAACATCTCAAGGATGATCAATGGAAACAGGATGCACCTGAGCTCAATTTCGAGTCTCAAAGCAAAGGGTCTGAATACTTATGTAAATAAGGTATTTCTGTTTTTTAAATCCGTTTTCACTTTGTCATTCTGGGGTATTGTGTGTAGATGGATGAGGGAAACATTTAATTTAATCCATTTTAGAACAAGGCTGTAACATAACAAAATGTGGAAAAAGTCAAGGGGTCTGAATACTTTCTGAAGCCACTGTATATCTTTAATTTAAAAGTCCCAAAATGTATGTAGCAATTGCCCCCATTAAATGCAAAACTAACCCAGATTAGGGGCAACTTCACCCTGCACCTAACATACCTTCAATATGATGTCGTGGGTGGGGCTGCCGATGCGCTCCTCAAGCTCCACGCAGTACTCTCTCGCCAGGGGCACTGTGGGGCTGTACAGACGCCAATGTTTCTCGCCCTCCAACTGGAGGATAAACACCTGGGGAGAGGCCAAGCCACCAATGTCAAATAAAATAAAATGTTATTGGTCGCGTACTCATATTTAGCAGATGTTATCGCAGGTGCAGCAAAATGCTTATGTTTCTAGCTCCAACAGTGCAGTAAAACCGAACATTACAGAACAATACACACAAATCCCCAAAATTCTAAGAAACAAATTAAGAAATAGCATAATGAGCAATGTCAGAGTCCGGAATATAAATATATACACTGAACAAAAATAAATGCAACATGAAACAATTTCAAGGATTTACAGTTCATATAAGGAAATCAGTCAATTGAAATAAATTATTTAGGCCCTAATCTATGGATTTCACATGACTGGGAATACAGATATGCATCTGTTGGTCACAGATACCTAGTGTGACCACCATTTGCCTCATGCAGAGCGACACATCTCCTTTGCATAGAGTTAAATCAGGCTGTTGATTGTGGCCTGTGGAATGTTGTCCCACTCCTCTTCGATGGCTGTGCGAAGTTGCTGGCTATTGGCGGGAACTCGAACACGCCGTCGTACACGTTGATCCAGAGCACGACAAGCACGCAGATGAGCTTCCCTGAGATGGTTTGTGAGAGTTTATGCCAAAATTATTCGGTTGTGCAAACCCAAAGTTTCATCAGTTGTCCGGGTGGCTCATCTCAGACGATCCCGCAGGTGAAGAAGCCGGATGTGGAGGTCCTGGGCTGGTGTGGATACACGTGACTGCGGTTGTGAGGTTCGTTGGACGTACTGCCAAATCCTCTAAAACGACGTTGGAGGCGGCTTATGGTAGAGAAATGAACATTCAATTCTCTGGCAACAGCTCTGGTGGACATTCCTGCAGTCAGCATGCCAATTGCACGCTCCCTCAATACCTGAGACATCTGTGGCATTGTGTTGTGTGACAAAACTGCACATTTTAAATGGGCCTTTTATTGTCCCCAGCACAAGGTGCACCTGTGTAATGACCATATTGTTTAATCAGCTTCTTGATATGCTACATCTGCCAAGTGGATGGATTATCTTGGCAAAGGAGAAATGCTCACTAACTGGGATGTAAACAGATTTGTGCAAAACATTTGAGAGAAATAAGCTTTTTGTGCGTATGGAACATTTCGGGGATCTTTTATTTCATCTCATGAAACCAAAACTTTACATGTTGCGTTTATATTTTTGTTCAGTATATATGTATATGATGGTGTGTAGATAGTATGGACAGTATATGAATAGGAACGGTGTGTACAGCAGTAGTTATATAGGATGACTAGAATACAGTATATACATATGATGTGGGTAAAACAGTATGTAAACATGATTAAATATTGTCTAACCCTCAAACTATACTACAAACATTGCAGGCTGGGCTATGTTCAGTAGGGAACATCGTAGCAAAATAATTCCAAATGGAAAGTTACAATTAGAGTTTTTTTTTTTTTTGTCATTTAGCAGACGCTCTTATCCAGAGCGACTTACAGGAGCAATTAGGGTTAAGTGCCTTGCTCAAGGGCACATCGACAGATTTTTCACCTAGTCGGCTCAGGGATTAGAACCAGCGACCTTTCGGTTACTGGCACAACGGTCTAAACCACTAAGCTACCTGCCGCCATGGGTAGCTATGACATGTTTTCTCCTGTTTGGTTCCCACTGAACACTACACTGATGTGGACCATGTTGGGGCTAGTTCAGTGTTGTACCTCCACGTCGTCGTAGTGTGGGGGTAGCCCTTGGGACTCCTGTGGGGTGATGTAGACGTTGGAGCCCACCAGAGCCCCAAAGAAACACTCCAGCTTCTCCTGAATCCGCCACAGCTCGTCCTGGAGACACACAGTTAGTTAGAGGAGAGCAGGCAGCTTAGAATCTCCTAATAGAATACTATTGGGTTCAGCTCTGCACAAATATGGACCAAGATGTTCAGATATATCTGTGCAAGAGCTTTTAATTACTGTTGTGTTCACCAACATATCCTAGTTCAAGGCTTTCGAATTTAAATAGGCAAATCTGAATCTGAGCTAAAGGATATCTGTCACTACACTGCCACAGTGTTGCGCTAACTAGGACCTCTTCACTCCTGGTTATTCAGGGTTAGAAGGCACAGTGATGCTGAAACGTTGGTGGTTTCTTACCCAATAAATTACTGGGAGTTTATACAGAGTGTGCGACTCTATTTGTTTTTATAGCTTACAGTTTATTCACCGTTAGTCAGCACCTCTACACTAAATAATGTTCTCTGGGTGTGCGCCAGATCATGCTTTTTATTAGACTCCTGTTTCATACTACCACGGACCAGAATGCACGACTCAGGAGTACAAAACACTGTGGATAAACACCTGTCCACCACTCTCACCTTAAATCTCTGAGGCTGGTGGAACTGGATGGTGGCCTTCTTCTGGTTGAAGTCCTTCCTGAGCTGGCTGTAGTTGACACGGCCCTCCTTGTTCAACACAGTCTTGTTGCCCTGGACGCAGCGGCACACATTGAGGTCTCTGGCATATGTCAGGCCCTGGGAGCACAGCCCCTTCAGGTCGGAGAGCTGGAACAGAGACTGGTAGTAGGAGGCCAAGGCTGGGTCAGACCTTTGGAGGTGGAGGGGCTTCTTCTCCCAGTAATCTGTGAAGAATTCCTCCTGCCCCACAGGGGAAATTAGGCTCTGGAAGACAGTGTCTGGGGTGTCGAAGCAGAAAGGAGAGGGGACACCATTGGAGTCTGTTTTCCTCTGTTTGGGAGCGACTGCTTCATCATCTCCGGCTGCTGCTCTTCTTCCCTTCCTGGGCATCTTTAGCTGATAGAGATAACGTTACATCAGTGGCATTAGAAGATAGCTAGCTATGTGATCAGTTTCTGTTTTCATTTTGCATTGCTATCAAATTAACTCGCAAGCTGAAGTTATGCAGTTGCAATAGCCCGTTCGATAGCAAATAAGTGGTGTTATGTAGCTAGCTTTAGATAAAAATAATTGGTACACATGTTAGCTAGCTAATAACATAGCTTATGGGCTAACAAGCTAGTTAGCTAACGTTAACTAGCTAACTTGCAAACTGTAGCTAACGTTATATAATGTTAGTGTTGCTGCTCGTATCGTTAAACGTAGCTAAAACATAGCTACCTGTTTTGCTTATGTTCCTACCTGATTCAACACAAATATATTAGCAACAAACTATTTTCCCAAATCAGTTTGGTTTGATAGCTACACATGTGAGAATGGAGTTCTGTCCTGCAGCATAAAATGTCTGAAGGGAAACAAGTACTTTCCAATTTCCGCTCTGGTGATTCATGTCTCTAGCGTGGATTATTTCCAAATTCAACTAATTTCCAAATTGTATTCAATACAGAAATGATACGCAACCACTACAATAATGTTGGCATGTTAAGGCTGAATACTTTTATTAGTTGACATTTATCTTAAATACAATAAAACAAGCAGAGCTGAGCAGGTTCTGTAAGGAGACCTTTCTATTTCAACAGCTAGATCAAAATCTTAGTTTGAAAAAGGGGAAAGGTAGCGAGATGTCCTCACAAAGTGAGATGCACTAAAAGTGCACTAGAGGGGCTCCTTGACTTCAGCAGTGAGCTCTCCTCTAATCAAGATCCAATGTCCAGTAAAAGATTAAACAAATACAAAAAGTTAATTTATTTACACATTGGCTCTTTCAACCTTTTGATAACATGAGGAATGGAGCTCTATACTAGCTATCTCTGTGATAGCCAAACCAAATCTGGGTGTATTTAACATAGTACAACATTCAAATATCAGACTACATTACGTGGAATTCAACACACCCATTATGTGGTGTTCTAATAGAAAATACGCAATTATCACAATTTTCCAACCAAAACATTTACATAGAGGAAATGTGAAATAACACTAAAAATAAGAGGCCACTTGACAATGCCAAAATGAAGTTCCATGAACTGTTGTTTTCTGTGTATGGAGGGAGGCAGGTGCAGTGTTTCGGTTTTAAAAAACAAAAACTAAATATTTTTTGTGGAGAGGAAGGAGGGTGAACTCTGCCTTGGTTGGCTGACCCTCGTCTTAAGTCCAGACAGGAGAGAATTTGATGTCCAGTCACAGGGCCCAGCCTGCTCTCCATCACTGGGGGGCCTCCTTGTCCCCTGGCTGGGGGGCTGTCTCAGGGAGCTCCAACTTCTCGCACTCAGTCAGCTTCAGGGTTAAGTGCTGGGCGATCTCATTGGGGTCAGTATACAGAGCAGCAGGGACGTTCTGGAAGACAAAGAGAGGGAAACAAACTAAATGTCGTTGTCTATCAAAAGTCAGATTTTCTAGATATTGCCATTGATTAATTGTTCTCCATTTACAAGTGGTATGATTGCATCAGCTGGACAGTGGCATCTATGCATGTAGCATTAATGTTTTGGACAATATTTTAGTGATGTCACTGCACGATGGTGAACTTGCTCTGACTTGCCAGCAGACTTCTGCTATACATGTACTTTGCAAACAGAAGAAAATTCTCACCTTCAATTCTGAAATTTTGCTTTCCCGAGTGCTAAACTCTCTGATCATGTAATTCTTTCCAGTCTGTAAAGAAAACCAGGGTAAACAATGACTCATTTCATAAGTAGGCATAGCCATTTTGTAGTTGAAGTTAAGTGAGTGATGTCCATTTCCTTCTAAAGTTATCCACAGAATTTGATTCCAATGCACATCCATTCTGGTGGTTACCGTTAATCGATTGCCATTTCCCAGGAAAGCCCAGTCACACTTGCCTCGTGATAGAGCCGTGTGTCATTTATCCGGATCAGAACTCCATCCACTCGCAGGAAGAACCGCAGAAGCAGGAAGAAACTGGTAGGCATCACTCTCTGTATCATACACAAGTGGTTAACAAGAGGGTGTCATTCTTCAAAACCTCCTCAGAACAAATGAATCTGCCTCTCAAAGATGCAAGCGTTTAAGAAAATTCATTAAACATAAGTACAATAGGGGAATAAAAAAATTGCCTTTTTTATTCCTGGTCTTACAGCCCCCGCAAGGGCATGTCCTTTGGTGCTTGTCACACGGCCACAGAAATCATATGGGGCGAATGTGCATCATCATAAAGTGTCAGTTCCTGTCTGAAAGTGGCACTCACTATTTTGACGCTGATCATGGACACGCCGTGGTCGTGAAGCTCGTCTTCAAACAGCAGCACGTCATCGAAGAACATGATCTGCTCTCGCGCCTTAAGCTTCTCCATGTCGATGCGCTCCGACGTTTCTGTCGCCTAATGGAATAGCAGGGGTGTATTCATTAGTGCACACCGTAGCAAAAAAGAAAACGTTTTGCAACTGAAAAACACGTTTCTTATTGGACACATTCAGGTAGGTAGGTCCCTCGGCCTGTTTGCCTCCATTTGGTTCCTAATGAATAAGGCAATTGACAGCTTGAGATAACATGTTTCTGAATATTAAGCCTATGCGAAAGAACAATTATGTTCCAGGCTGACTACATTGCAGTTGTTGTATTGCATCACCTGATGGTTGTGTTCCACATCATTGACGGTGCAGTCAGACGTCAGACTGACATATCATATGGTGTGGTTAGTTGATATGTTAATCACCTAGCCAGGCATTGTGAGATCTGGCAGGCGTCTGCAATGTAGTCGGCCTGAAACGCAGCCAATGACTTGGGGGCGAACCCTATCTTCCACTTACGTCGAATTTACACTTAGTCATGCATCAATATCAATGTGAGACTAAGCTAAATTTTGACTTAAATTGAAGTTAAGATTTGCCCCTTATTTTGTCATGTGTTTGTTTGGGATATTGTTTTGTATCCACAGTATGAACTGAAAGGCCTTTCACCCTCATCTGCAGGTCCTCTCCTAACAAAGTGCCTCTGTAGTCTGTGGTATATGTCCAGTCGTAGTGTTTCACCGCCTCTTTGGAGTGTTCAGAATCGGCCCTGGGAATACAACCACATGACAACAGTCAGATTCAGTCTCCATAATGGGTCTGGTAATTGACTGATTATTCAACACTTTTTATCCAAACAATTTAAAATGCCATAGTTTTTTTTTTAAAAATCTACTTCACCAGCATATAGACAATGAAGGTGGATAGTTTTATCACAGTGGTATTATGATAGTGGTTGTACCTGCTCTCTTGCCATTCCTGTGCACAGGCCACTTTCACAGAGTCCTGCATGTTGTTGACCCTCTTGAGGGCATCGATGGCGTTAAACTCGATGCCATAGCCGTCTGTGTGCTGAATGCGTAGAACGTTGTCCCCAAACAGCATCTCTGGGAGCGAGGGCATGTGCATCTCCTCCCCTAACCTGAGACAAAACTGTCAAGATTGAAACCTGAACAACTAACCTCAATGCAGCTAGCTAAGTAAGTTACATTTTACATTTACATTTTAGTCATTTAGCAGACGCTCTTATCCAGAGCGACTTACAGTTAGTGAATACATATTTTTTTATACTGGCCCCCCGTGGGAATCGAACCCACAACCCTGGCATTGCAAACACCATGCTCTATCAACGCTACATCCCTGCCGGCCATTCCCTCCGCCCATGAGTCTCCCGGTCGCGGCCGGCTGCGACAGAGCCTGGATTCGAACCAGGATCTCTAGTGGCACAGTTAGCACTGCGATGCAGTGCCTTAGACCACTGCGCCACTCAGGAGTTGATAATATTTGAATGATTAATGTTGGTGTGCAACTATTTAAAGTAAGACCAAGTTGATAAACAAGCTCCCCAATGTAGACTAAACCTTAAGAATACTAAACAGACAACATTTAAGAAAAAGTTTATTCTGACACAAAATCAGCAAAATACTTGGAATAGTTTACCGTTCAATGTCCTTAGATTTCATAATGTGGGTTTTTGCTGCAGTCACTTTCCATGGTCCGAATATGAAGTCTTGCTTACTGCTCTTAAACCCATGGGTCATCATGGCTGACAAATTGGCCAACATCAACTGTAAATACAGTCAAACCAAACCCAGAGAAGTAAATAAACATATGATAGTACATGCAAGTACAGGGTACATTGCATATCGACCGTTGCAGAACTGTAGATAGTTGTGTACATTCGGCCCTCAGATATTAGCTAGCAATCCAATGTCTTTATTAGCGAGTTGTAAAAGTACCTAGGTAGGAGATATATAGTTAGCTATTACAAGTAAAGAACACAATTCCTACTGTAAAGATTCTCCGCTGTACAGGCTTGATAGCTAGCTAGCTAGTTATTAACTTTTCTAGCCTTCCTAACTAGCTATTGCAAAATTCAACGTTATATAAAATAAGAAGCAGGTAGCTGACAAAACAGCCAAACGTGTTAATGGAGTCGAAAACAACAATGCAGATTAAGCGTTCCACAATCTTATTTATCTAGCTAGCTAACTGCGCCTCCGGCTGTTTTGTGACAAGCTGGCTGGTTCAGCATCACTTCAATCATCATACTAGCTTGTTATCTTAACTTCATTACTAATAAGATATACCTCCAAAATCAATAACCTACTGACAAGAGACTTTATGGAAATACAAATCAAAGATTCAATTCAAAAGAAAGGTAAAAGTTAATACACTTACTCCAGTATTTTGATTGTCAGCTAACGTCCATGAAAGAGAGAGCTTCACAAAAACGCTTCCGACGTACTTTTCATTCTACTATTATATGGTTCCGCCTCCAGAAAATACAGTAAATCTGTACCAAAAAAAATATATTTATTTGTTGCTACATGTCCTAAATGTAAGATAGCATGCTGTGTTTATACTAGTTGCTCTCTAAGACAGGTCTCCATCAAAAATACATTTCACAGAAATAAAATGTTTTAAAAAATGTTTCAATACATTTTTAAAAACATATCTATATCTTTTTTTAACTTAAAATGTATTACAGCTTCACTTTTTAAATGTTGTGGTTTTGTTCTGGGCTGCCACCCTGACATAGAGAGAAGATTACTGGTATCAATGACTGGATTAGCTGAAATTAACATAATCAGAGGCATTACAGTATGAACAACCATTCAACATTAATCCATGGCCTAACGGCCTGCAGTGTGTCAAATTGTTTTTATACGTATCATTAGAACAGACAGCCTACAAGCAAATTCGATTTTTTTTTATTCCCCAGTCAAGTGTCCCAAACATGGTGGTTCTGAGAAAGTCCTACACAATTCATCTGTAGCTAGGATCCCATCCTAGGATTTGGTACATCGGGTGGTACTGTCTAATGCCCTTGTCTGTGTTGGTATAGCAGTGGAGAGAGGAATTGGATGATGGTCTCCCAGTGTTGAGTAGACCATGTTCTCAGTCACAGAGGAGACAGTGTGGCCAGGTTCTTGGGACGTTCCAAGAGGAGAAAGGTGTGTGACTCTCTCTGGAGAACAATCAATGTGACATTGATCAAATGGACCAAATGCACTGTAATACAGTATGTTTGATTGAGAAATATGTCACAAATAATTCCCCTAGAAAAAACCTGACTCCTAAACATTACTGTATGTTTATGATTTGTACTGTAATTGGAAATGTGCGCTAATAGTTTTAATACATTTTTGACTGTTTTATATTGCATTACACATCTAGTGCTTGATACTTAAAGATGCACTCTCAAACTCATGTATCATTTCAGCCAGTAGTTTTGAAAGTGGTGCTCACCAGCCAAAACGGGTCCCCGTTTTTTGTGTACCACTTCATCCAATTTTGTGCTACGTCATACATTTTGTGTCATATGTTACGGATTTTGTCATTCGTATGATGTCATATGAATTTTGCAATTTGTGTGATATATTACAAACCTCATTCGTGCAATATGTTATGAATTTGTTGAGCTTAAGATCCCAGAGTGCATCTTTAAAATATCATATCATGCTATCACGATATCAAGCATGCGAGACAGAAAATCTAATTACTCACTGAAATATGTACACTTGATGAATATGATGATAAGGATTACTACAATCAAGACCGCTCCAATGCTGACCACAATCAATAGCCAACTCACTGGGAAACCTAAAAAACATTAGGAAAAGTGTGTGATATCCATTAAATAATGAGAAAAAAGTAATTGACATACAGTATCCCAGAACATAATTATTGCCAGAAAGAATGTGGTCCTCTGTAGCTCAATTGGTAGAGCATGGTGCTTGTAACGCCAGGGTGGTGGGTTCGATCCCCGGGACCACCCATATGTAAAAATGTATGCATACATGACTGTAAGTCGCTTTGGATAAAAGCGTCTGCTAAATGGCATATTATATTATTATTATTAGAATAGAAGTTAGATCAGTATATAAATATATCCACCATCCTCTTAGAATGGTGATCGAATGGAGGTGAGCTCCAAAAGTTTTGGGACAGTGACACATTTGTTGTTGTTTTGGCTCTGTACTCCACCACTTTGAATTTGAAATGATACAGTGAATATGAGGTTAAAGTGCAGACTGTCAGCTTTAATTTGAGGGTATTTTCATCCATATCGGGTGAACCGTTTGAAATATAACCAAAACAAACTGCAAATGTATCCAACAAATTTGTAGAGTCAAAAATGTGATGTAGTCGTTGCGTGCTACGAATATGGGACCAAATACTTAACTTTTTACTACTTGAATACACATATAAGCGAATTTGTCCCAATATTTTGTTGGGACTATGTACTATGTACAAAAAGTGCTGTAATTTCTAAACAGTTCATTTCAAATCCAAACCACAAAAAATATGTCACTGTCCAGTATGAAAAATGTATGCACTCACTAACTGTAAGTCACTCTGGATAAGGGCATCTGCTAAATGACTAAAAATGTCCCAATACTTTTGGAGCTCACTGTATCACAAGATATTATGGTAAAGTTGTGTAGAGCACCAAAATCATATTACATAGATATAGAAATCTACATGTTACATTGTCAACTAGTAATACTAACTTATTAACACATAGCTCTCACCATTGGACATGACTGTGTGATTGACAGTGATAGGCTGGCTGAGAGCAGAGTGGTTGACCAAGCAGAGGTAGAGGCCAGTCTGGCTGGGTCCTGAGGACAGAGGCAGGTAGGAGTGGAGTGTGAAGGAACCATCTGGGTTGACCTCCTTCTGCGTGTCTGAAAGTGTGGTGTTGAGGAGCTGACCATCTTTAAACCACACCTGCTCTATGGTCTCTGGGTAAAAACCCTGAGAGGAGCACAGCAACATGGGAAGTCCACCACTGGACTCCTTTACATCAGACACAGATACTACAGGAGGGGCTGGATACACAAACAGAAAGATGCAGATGCAGAAATAAAAGGGTAAACAAACATTATTTTCAATTTGGAGTCAAGTAGCATTCACATATCATGTTGTGATCACAGGGTCTTAATGGTTTTACATGTAGATTGTAGTTCTATCAAGTATTTTCAGAGATCGTTAACCTGTTACACAAATAGTTATGTTTTTTGAGAAAACTTGTTCAGGTGGAGGTGCAGCTCTTTTCACTTCACAGGAGTAAAGTCCAGCATCATTTATCTGTAGTTTCATCAGTAAAAATGAGATCTCTTTAGTCTCATTATTCCAAATCATTCGTACACTTTCTTTACAATTCTTCGGCACCAGCCACTCTTGTCTGTTAAACTGATGAAAGCACAGCACCTCTGTTCCTTTTATAGTTACTGTAAATATTTCAATGTCATAGGGTAAATTGTGGGTGCAGTGGATCGTCACTGAATTTCCTTTGTGTACTATGACTGCTGTTGGATGTTTTGACAGTGTAGTTAGGGTCTGTAAACCTGTAGAAAAAGAGATCAGTGTTGATCAATCTGAGAAAGCAGGTGATGAAGTGATTTAGGTCATAACACACCTGCTGACAATTGTAAAATCATTTTAAGTCACTTCACTTCCCAGCTCCATACTGGCTGGGACACATGTATTAATAAGTCAATAAATGTAGGGTCTGTCTCAGCAAGTCTCTCAGCAATCACTTTTCATTTCAGTTCAATCATTTTTATATTTCAGAAGTGAATGCACTGATGCTTTCTTATGCAATCATAAATTACAATTTGACCCTTGATGCTGCAACCCCCCCCACCCCAACACACACACACACACATTACCTGAGTGGAGACTCAGAAGTATTGCCAAATGCAGAACAGAAGAATAGTGTACCGACATCTGGTCCAAAAAGAGCAACGACACAAAGATAAGATAGTTATTTTCAACACTAAATTTCAGTGGTTTTTCACCCTACACATCCTGTGATGACAAGAGGTACAGCATGTAAAGTGTGGCTTGTATCATACACTGAAAACATACATGGAAAGACATAAATAACAAACACATTTTATTTTGAATGCTAGACATTAAAGTATGTTGAATATTCCAGTTCTATAGCAGTTTTTGTTGCAAGCTTTCTGACACAGAAGTGTGGAGTCTTGTGGACCTAAAGCATATGCACGTCTCTCAGGGCGTAGATTTAACAGAAGTTGAATACAAAATCTCCCCCATTCAAGAAACATTCAGTTTACTCTCATATTCGACTCATTTTGCCGTAATGCAGTTAAAATAATATTTTTAACATTAAAATATAACATTTTCCAACAAGATGGAATAAACAAATCTGTTTGAATACTCACCATATATATTAGTTAAAGACACTTGCATCCAAATCCTCAAGATATGCACTGTACTCAATTCCTCTGTGATGCTGTGTGAACTGTGTCATCACCACTATGACTTATATCCTCATTGCATCTCTGTGGTGTCAATTTCCTCACAGAGCAGGTTCAATGTGTGTGAGTCTAGTGCTTCTGTGCTCAAAATCTCAGGTTAGCTCGAAGGTGGGTGCTAGCTACCCTCTAACACACAACACGCCTTGAGTGACATCCTGTACATTTACAGACCCAACTACCCAGTTCATCTCATGTGATTTTTTCACCATTGGGTTTAACTACTGATAATGGTTTGACTTGTAACCCTAGTTAGCATGGTGAATCCAGAATTAGCTATTTTCAGATTTATTCTAAAATACACAAACATACATATTATCTTTAGAAATATCTTTCACATACTATAACAAAACATTGAAACAGTTTGCAACAGCATGCAGATACTCAGCCCATGGTCATAGGTTGAATTGAAACGGAGAGTTCACAATTTACAGTGAGGGAAAAAAGTATTTGATCCCCTGCTGATTTTGTACGTTTGCCCACTGACAAAGAAATGATCAGTCCATAATTTTTATGGTAGGTTTATTTGAACACTGAGAGACAGAATAACAACAAAAAAATCCAGAAAAACGCATGTCAAAAATATTATAAATTGATTTGCATTTTAATGAGGGAAATAAGTATTTGACCCCCTCTCAATCAGAAAGATTTCTGGCTCCCAGGTGTCTTTTATACAGGTAACGAGCTGAGATTAGGAGCACACTCTTAAAGGGAGTGCTCCTAATCTCAGTTTGTTACCTGTGTAAAAGACACCTGTCCACAGAAGCAATCAATCAATCAGATTCCAAACTCTCCACCATGGCCAAGACCAAAGAGCTCTCCAAGGATGTCAGGGACAAGATTGTAGACCTACACAAGGCTGGAATGGGCTACAAGACCATCGCCAAGCAGCTTGGTGAGAAGGTGACAACAGTTGGTGCGATTATTCGCAAATGGAAGAAACACAAAAGAACTGTCAATCTCCCTCAACCTGGGGCTCCATGCAAGATCTCACATCATGGAGTCGCAATGATCATGAGAACGGTGAGGAATCAGCCCAGAACTACACGGGAGGATCTTGTCAATGATCTCAAGGCAGCTGGGATCATAGTCACCAAGAAAACAATTGGTAACACATTACGCCGTGAAGGACTGAAATCCTGCAGCGCCCGCAAGGTCCCCCTGCTCAAGAAAGCACATATACAGGCCCGTCTGAAGTTTGCCAATGAACATCTGAATGATTCAGAGGAGAACTAGATGAAAGTGTTGTGGTCAGATGAGACCAAAATCGAGCTCTTTGGCATCAACTCAACTAGCCGTGTTTGGAGGAGGAGGAATGCTGCCTATGACCCCAAGAACACCATCCCCACCGTCAAACATGGAGGTGGAGACATTATGCTTTGGGGGTGTTTTTCTGCTAAGGGGACAGGACAACTTCACCGCATCAAAGGGACGATGGACGGGGCCATGTACCATCAAATCTTGGGTGAGAACCTCCTTCCCTCAGCCAGGGCATTGAAAATGGGTTGTGGATGGGTATTCCAGCATGACAATGACCCAAAGCACACGGCCAAGGCAACAAAGGAGTGGCTCAAGAAGAAGCACATTAAGGTCCTGGAGTGGCCTAGCCAGTCTCCAGACCTTAATCCCATAGAAAATCTGTGGAGGGAGCTGAAGGTTCGAGTTGCCAAATGTCAGCCTCGAAACCTTAATGACTTGGAGAAGATCTGCAAAGAGGTGTGGGACAAAATCCCTCCTTAGATGTGTGCAAACCTGGTGGCCAACTACAAGAAACGTCTGACCTCTGTGATTGCCAACAAGGGTTTTGCCACCAAGTACTAAGTCATGTTTTGCAGAGGGGTCAAATACTTATTTCCCTCATTAAAATGCAAATCAATTTATAACATTTTTGACTGGATTTCTTTGTTGTTATTCTGTCTCTCACTGTTCAAACCTACCATTAAAATTATAGACTGATCATGTCTTTGTCAGTGGGCAAACGTACAAAATCAGCAGGGGATCAAATACTTTTTTCCCTCACTGGATGTGAATCAGATTTTTTTTCTACACACTTAATAATAATAATAATAATATGGCTTAACGCTTTACATTACAGAGTTACCTCAAAGCTCTACTTTGGCAAGAAACATACAATAAAAACATTAATTTAGAATCAAGGCAGGGAAAATAGCAATAGTGAGCAAGGTGCTAAAAATACTTTTCAGATTAGGACTAGACCAAGAAAGATGTGTCAGGTTATAATGGGCAGCTAGGTTTTACAAATTATTCACTTTTATAGCATGTTAAAGTTATCCAGCAAAACAAAATGTGAAAAATACATCACCACCTCTCCTCCAACTTTCACACCCTCTCATCCTACCTTTTAGATACTTTCTCTCTGGCTTTGGTGAACAGAGGGGCTTTAGAAATGATGAAGACTGTGGCTAATGTCATGAAACTGTGAAAAAGACTGGTGAGCAAAAAGAGAACTTTAGAACTTTTGCATTGTTCACTCTGAAGACCGTGGCTAACGTCATAAAAATGTGAACAAAACTGTGAACATTACTGAGTGGTGGATGTGAGAGGCTGCACCATAGTTGTTTTCAGTTACGTAAAAGTAGACCACAGCATTGACAGCAATGTTGACACTGAAACAGGAAGTCAGAGTTGTTCAACCTTTTCTGGCACAACCATTGTGTACTTATAAATAACTGAAAAGTAATGAATCTACATGCGTAACGCAGATTAACAGTACATTAAACCCGTTTCGTGAATTTTTATTTAGCAATAAATGTTTACAGGATTTACATATTACGTTTGACTTTATTCATCTCCAAATTAGAAAATTAATATAATGAAAAGCTCATACAAAAATCCTAAGCAGGTGTTGAGGACGTTACATTAATTTAAAGGTAATCATTGGCCCAAACATTCTTATCTAGAGTGATTCACACATGCACATTGAGGTTTTATGTCACATTAAAAAGGACAGCAAGAGGAAAACGTTATATACAATTTAATGATACCAGTGGCAACCACCCAATTTATGTCCAGAGTGAATGTATGGAAGCAGTTTATGGGTGATTGTCAGATACACTAAATAACTATTTCTGTAGCTTGGATGTGATCAACTCAGCTAGTATTCAAGACACACTGGTTCAATGGTTGATGGATTCACCAATACCCTAATCTGGGATAGTAAAGCATCATACAACAGTACTACCACATTTAAAATGGTCTAATGGCTACAAACATCTATGAACTCAAATGAAAAGAGGAATGAGGCTGTCAGAGTGAGATTAAGATGGTCTAGTTCTCATAAATGCATTGTTCCTGGATGGATGCAGTGGTCGTCTGTCTCTGTTGGGTTTGTATGCTGAAACTGAAGTTCTCGTACACCTTGTTGTTGTATGAGACGGAATCGCCTTTATCATTGATCCTCTGCAGACCTGCTTGGGGAGAAGGCCAATCAACTAGTCACATTTAGGGTTGATGCTCATGCTGAACAGTTGCCTACTGCTAAGTGTCAAAAGACTTGTTAAGGTGTTTGGCACTACAGGCAACATTGTTGTGGTGCAAAATAGCACAGATCTGTGCAGAAAAGTATCAAATTAAATTACAGTTTTTGAACAGAGCTGACAATTTTGTACAACCATGAGTGAATAAGTTATTTTGTATCCAAGAGTTTTGTAGACGATCATACAACATATTAAATAAAGCACATACTAAAAGTACATTTTGCTTGCGGGCTGATTGACACTTTACTACCTCGAAAAACATTGGTGTCTCTCTGCTTTAGATTTCACACCTCTGTTGTGTTGCATGACAGGGTTGTGGAAACTATTATGTCATATTAAGGTCTGAGCTGAGCTGAGCTCAAGGGCCACCCATTGTTTTCTAGAGCAGGGTTGGACAACTGGCAGCCCAGGTGCCGGAAACAACCCAACCTTGCCTTGTATCTGGACTGAAATGTGAGTTATAGATCTGTCATTCTCATTGAAAGCAAGTCTATGAAGCGGTAGATCTGTTCTATGTGCGCTATTTCTATGCTCCCTGTTTTAAGTTCAAACAGCTAAAAATACAATATTTAATATGATTATTGAAAATATATTTCACAGCGGTTTAGATGGTACAATTGTTCTCTACACTCTGAGTGCTTGTTTTGTCACATAAACTGAAATTAGGCGAACTATTAGAATTTTGGCAACCAGGAAATGACAGAGCGATTTCTGCATATTGCACCTTTACATTTTTATATAGGATAATTAAAACACACACAGATCTAATACGGCGCCAAAAATGGTGCCGGTGTGACATACAGCATATTTGCTGCGCTAAAATAAAGTATAAAAGTCCTGATTCAAAATGTCAATTGGTGATGGAAAATACAATTAAGTCTTGAAATGAAGACACACGCACAGGTCTATGCGCAGACCTCACAGAGTCCATCTGCTGACATCTAGTGGAAATAAAAATGATGCATGATGCATTGAGCCCCCATTTTACAGTATCACACTCAAAAGGCAGTTTAGAATATCCAATCAGTTCTAAAACTTCAAGACTCCTGTTGGATGAGATAAAACAGTTGTGATTCAAATAACATAATGTAACATAACACACTAAGTCCTAAAATGGAAGCTGATGTGACTTGTGGTTTAGTGCCATAAATGTGTAGCCTATAAGACAGAATGTCAACACAAGATAGCAGGCAGAGTCATCAAAAGCAGGGGTGGTGGGAAGGTAGTCATTTCCTCTTTGTCTTCATGAGGGGGCTAGATTTTGCTCCGATGACAGTAAATATAACTTGGAAATGTAAGGATATTCTGTAGCCAAAATATCAGTCTCTGGGTTAAGGTTTTACTTCTGCTTTCTCTGTTCCAGATTCCAGTGAATCCAAAGTATTACTGAACAGAAATATAAACGCAACATGCAACAATTTTAAAGATTTTACTAAGTTACATTTCATATAAGGAAATGAGTAAATTGAAATAAATTCATTACGTCCTAATCTATGGATTTCACATGACTGGGAATACAGATATGCATCTGTTGGTCACAGATACCTTTTTTTTTAAAGGTAGGGGCGTGGATCAGAAAACCAGTCAGTCTCTGGTGTGACCACCATTTGCCTCATGCAGAGCAATACATCTCCTTCGCATAGAGTTAATCAGGCTGTTGATTGTGGCTTGTGGAATGTTGTCCCACTCCTCTTCAATGGCTGTTCGAAGTTGCTGGCTATTGGCGGGAACTGGAACACGCTGTCGTGCACATCGATCCAGAGCATCCTAAACATACTCAATGGGTGACATGTCTGGTGAGTATTCATGCCATGGAAGAACTAGGACAATTTCAGCTTCCAGGAATTGTGTACAGATCCTTGCGACATGAGGCCATGCATTATCATGCTGAAACATGGGGTGATGGCAGCTGATGAATGGCACGACAATGGACCTCAGGATCTCGTCACGGTATCTTTGTGCATTCAAATTGCCATTGAAAAAATACAATTGTGTTCGTTGTCTGTAGCTTATGCCTGACCATACCATAACCACACTGCCGCCATAGAGCACTCTGTTCACATCGCTGACATTAGCAAACCGCTTGCCCACACGACGCCATACACGTGATCTGTGGTTGTGAGGCTGGTTAGACCTACTGCCAAATTCTCTAAAACGATGTTGGAGGGGGCTTATGGTAGAGAAATTATCATTAAATTCTCTGGCAACAGCTCTGATGGACATTCCTGCAATCATTCCTGCAGTGAAGCTTATTATGTGAGCTTACTCAGAAACGCTTTAATTAACTAGTATAGGCCTACTATTTATTTATTTTATCTCATACTTTTATAGCCTACTGGACTCATAGAGAGCTACTCTCTCAAGTTATCTTGTTGGGGCGAGTAACTCTTTGAACTTACAATGACTAGCCCCAAGTCATTCATGTTACCTCTGTAGCTCAGCTGGTAGAGCACGGCGCTTGTAACGCCAAGGTAGTGGGTTCGATCCCCGGGACCACCCATACACAAAAATGTATGCACGCATGACTGTAAGTCGCTTTGGATAAAAGCGTCTGCTAAATGGCATATATTTATTATTATTATTATTATTATTCAATTTTTTTCTTGTGCTTTATGCTATTTGCCTCATGACTCCTGCGTGCTTTGTTGACTATGAACTTGCTTGTTTACCCAACTGTGGGACAGACTATGTTTGTTCCCACACTCGAGACTCTGACTCTCTATTGGTTACACTGACTCTTGGCCTCCCATCCTATTCTAACCACCTCTCGCTGGCTTTGTCTTCATGTTACCGTGTGAAATTTCTGTACAATATGATCTTGTTGCCATCTGATGCACATTCAAATGTCATAAAAAATCAACACTTCAGAGCTCTCCCTGTCCTCTGCCGTGCCCTGATTGTATTACTGCTGATGATATCTGGGAGTTATCCTCGACTCCCAAGTGGCGCAGTGGTCTAAGGCACTGCAACACAGTGCTAGCTGTGCCACTAGAAATCCTGGTTCAAGTCCAGGCTCTGTTGCAGCTGGCCGCGACCGGGAGATCCATGGGTGGTGCACAATTGGTCCAAGGTAGGGGAGGGTTTTGCCGGCAGGGATGTGGGTTCGTTTCCCACGGGGGGCCAATTGAACATGTATGCATTCACTAACTGTAAGTTGCTCTGGATAAGAGCGTCTGCTAAATGACGTAAATATGCTTTTTCAGCAAGACAGATCTTCTAAAGGTGGTGGAGTGGCAATCTTTACCAATGAACACCTTCAGTGCTTGGTTGTCTCCACCAAGTCTCAATCTGATTTGCTGGTTTTAAGCATTACACTTTCAAATAGTTATTTGTTGACTGTTGCTGGGTGTTATCGTCCACCATCAGCACCAGCCTGTACCCTACCTGCCCTAAACTGAAGTCTGAATTAGTCCTGCTAGGTGACCTAAACTAGGACATGCTTAAACCACCTGACGAAGTCCTAAAGTAATGGGACTCCCTAAATCTTTCTCAGATTATTACCAATCCCACAACGTATGACTCCAAACACCCAGAAAAGGCTACTCTCCTTGATGTTATCCTCACAAATAATCCTGATAGGTATCAGTCTGGTGTTTTCTGTAATGACCTTAGTGATCACTGTTTTACAGCCTGTTTTCGTAATGGCTGCTCAGTGAAACGACCTGTCCTAATTTGTCATAGACGCTTGCTAAAAAACTTTAATGAGCAAGCCTTCCTTCATGACCTGGCCTCTGTAAACTGGTATAGACGCTGTCAAAGACGCTTGTACCTTCTTTTGTAATATTTTCAGTGGTATTGTTAACAAACACGCTCCCGTAAAGAAAATGAGAATTAAAAACAGGTTCTGCCCCTGGTTTGACCGTGATCTGGCAGAGCTACTCCACCTCAAGAATTCCA